ACATGAACTCACAATTTAATTTACAGTGTATTCCGCTTAATTGGGATACAAGTTAATCGGGGTAGCCATTTTATTCGGCCAAACTAATAAACTAATACGTAATTTAATCGCTTAATTGGGACAGTAGCAGAAAAGGAATTTAGCAATTTTTGATATATTTTAGTAATCTTCCAAAAATATGTAGGCACTACATACACTAATGTCATGTAGGCCTAATGAGTGGCAGAGACAAAGAGATTTTGTCTTGCTCAGGCAGTTCAGTTTTTCTGGAGGGGGTCAGCATAGCAGGATGCATCACACAAGGATTTTGTCTGAGGCAGGCCTGAATATGAGCTACTGACCCTGCTCTGGATTGGACCGAATAATCCCCTTTTAAAAGTGAAGGAACAAAGGTCGCCAGACAATTTTTTGAGGTCTCTCAACTGAGTTGGAAGACAACTAAAGTTCCCTTGGAAGGTATTGCATGCATGATTACATCCAGATTCAGACAGCAGCCATCCGATTGTTGAGACCAGCATTGAGCTGGCAGATTCTATGGACACTCCTGCTGAAGTGGCCCATCTCCAAGTAAAGGAAACTGTGCTCAAAGGAAGACTGTAAAATGACTTTTGGATGAACCCTTTTCTTACTCCCCTTTTAGTTAGAACATGATCTAACTAAAAAGAAAGAAAGAAAGGAAAAATTGTTCAATCAGGGACAGATCAAATGGTTAACCCTTGTTCACATCGCTAGTAATATTTTGCAACACTAGCATTATGCGAATCAGTTATCATCGTGAGTCTGGCAAATTTATAGTACAAATATTTTCTGTATTTTGGTTTAAAATAGGTACCTAATTATTACTTTTTACCTATGTATTACATATTTTATTGTACAATTTATTATTAGTTCATTTAATTGGGGCAGCTGCTTATTGGGCCAAAATGAATTAATCCCAATGTATCCCAGTTAAGCAGAATGCAATGTATTTAATTTTGCAGGTCTATATCATTTTAATATAAAATATTACAGAATTATCTGTTTAAAGAGCTTCTATTTTTTAATTATATATTTTCTCTCCTGTATTTATCATACCATATATCAAAACAGGCATGATACAACAGTATATACATTCTCTTACTGACTTTAAACCAGCAATTCTTTTTAAATTTATGATCTTTATTAATTCACAAATGAACATTTTACTGTGTTTATTTGAATCTAAGATTTATGTTAATTTCTTCATGCTAACTCAAGACAAATTTATGACGACAGAAGTGTTTCTGTTGACATAAATTTGTTTAATATTTTTTGCAAATAAGTTTTATTTCACTGTCTTCTATGATATCAAAATCCAGAAACTTCTTCATTCATCATGTTAGGCTCTTCTAAACCATACTAATGTTGTTTTAGTCACACAACAACAAAACCTAATACTGAGGAATGTACCTGAGTTTTAGTTTTAGTAAATTAAAACTACAGTAATCAACCATGAATTTGATGTTTACATCTTCCCACATGAAATCATATGTTGGTGCCTTTTAAAGCATCAGAAGTGCAACATTTTCTTGAAAGAGTGCTGCACAACTTTTTCTGGGAATTTCATCTACTTATGACATTACTGTAATAGACTAACAAAACTGAGCTCAGTTGACCTCTTAAATATTAAAATGGCACAATGGAATTAGTTACAGAAAAATAAGACACAAGGCACTTGATGTCACTAATTATGTCAAACTACATTGAATCTAAGATACCCTATTTTCAGACATACCAAAACCTAAAACAAAATTACTCTTACATTAGGGTAAATACTGTGTATTGATGAAAATCATGAATTAACTAACTTAAACACTTAAACATGATACATAGAATCTATAAAATATTTTAGTAGTGATTGAAGCAATTATTGGGTTGTTTGGAAAGTAATTTTGTTTTTTTATTACTAGAGGAATTAGATGTATTTTTACCAGCCATTTTCATTTTAAACTAAATTTTCATTATATACTTTGATAGCTGACATTTTAAGGCTTATTTGTAAAAAAATTTTGCTTGACTCTGTATAATTGTTTTATTTTTTGATGTCCCATTAAATATGGAAAATTGAAAGCATCATTTTTGGCATATTTTGCTTTTTATTACCAAAAAATCAAAATGCTGTTCAAGCAAGAAAAAAATTGTAGTACATATATGGAGATGATGTGTTGACAGAATGACAGTGCCAAAACTGGTTTACAAAATTTCATTCTCGCAATTTCAATACTGAAGATGCACCACGTTCTGGATGGCCAGTTAAAGCCAATGAAAACAAAGTAAAGGTACCGATTGAAGCAAACTGCCGAATAACAACATGTGAAATCACTAAGAGATTAAATTTGTCAAATTGAACTGTTTATGATTACTTGAAACAAGTTAGTTTCATTTCAAAGCTCAATATATGGGTTCCACATGTTCTTAAGGAGAGATGCTATCTTTGGTGGGATTTTAAGAAAATTTTTTTTTTTTGAGCTTTTACCAGACAATTTAACAATTGATTTGAGAGTGTACTGCCATCGAATAAACAAACTGAGTAATATCATCAAACAGAAAAGGCCAGAATTGATCAACAAAACAGATGTAGTGTTTTACCATGAAAATGCCAAATTTCACACAAGTTTGGTAACTCGTCAGAAACTGTTATAACTTAGATGGGACGTGCTATCACACCAACCATATTTGCCAGATTGAGCACACTCAGATTATTACTTGTTCCAGTCTATACAATTTTTTTTTAACTGTAAGACATTTACTTGAAATGACAATGTCAAAAATCACTTAAAATCAGTTTTTTGTAAGCAACGATCAAAACTTTTATGAATGTGAAATCATGCTACTACCAGAAATGATGACAACAGGTATTGACCAAAATGATCGATATATAATTCAATAAAATATTTATTTATTATAAAAATATTGTTTTTTTTTCTATGGAAAAAAAAACAAAATTACTTCCCAAACAACCCAATAATAGCATGTGAATCTATCATATTAATTATTTTTAAACCAAAATGGCCATGACTGTCTATTTTAGACAAGTTTTCAACTTTTTTGGTTACCTAAGCTAGCATTGGTTCACATTATCTCAGATCACCAAAGCATTTGTTATTTATTGTATATATATATTTTCACATTAAACTTCAATAGTAATTATCAATGAAAAGTTATTAAAGCAAGAAAGAACTTGGATCAAGTTATTCTGAACACCCTATTAAAACCTAAAAGTAAAATTTTCTACTTTACCATGTGGTGAGCTGAATTCTACAAAAATTTTAACAATGATGTCAGCATCATCATCTTCTGATTGTCTTTCCTGATAGATGATGACTCTGTTGACTATGCCATACTTTCCACATTCGTCAGTCACCTCGGATTCTAGTTCATCATCTAGGTCTTCTATTCCAACCATATTCCTCAAAATCAGGACACAAGACTAATTGATATAAAATTTTATTTATGATTTCCACATAAATTTTATTAAAAAAAAATTATATATATATATAATTTTGTAATTTAATTTAAATACATATATATTTTAAATTTTACCTCACTCCGCCTCATTAATTTTTGCATTAACATATGACGAGCATTAGACCCCTTAATCATCATATTTTCTTGTTGCTGTAAAGTCTGTGGTTCTTGTTCTTCAACTAATTTCTTTTCTAATTCTTCTTGCTGTTTTTGAGAAGTTGATGGTTGCTGCTCCAAAGGTGAAGACATTACTGTAGGTGTAACGATATCTAAAGAAGTCGGAGTAACGACTGTGGGGGGAGTCAAAGGTGCAATTTCGGGTATCACTGTTGGCAAACCTGTAGTAGCTGTGGTTGTGGCCACAGGTAAGTTTGTAACTACACCAGGTGGCGGAATTGCAACTGGAGGCCTAACTGGCGTTACACCTGTTGAATGATATTTTCATTAATTAAAAGTTTTTTAATGTTATTAGCTTAATAATAATAATAATAATAATAATAAAATATTTTTAAAAATTTATTGTTAACACAAAGCTCACAATAACAAAAGAATTTCTTATTGATAAAGAGCATAAAATACTGCAATTTCACTTGCTATTTATTAAACTGAAGCATATGAAGCAGGAGAATATACTGAAATTTGTTTCATTTAATTTAAAAATATATTGTTTACTATACTGAATATTACCTTTCATTTTTATATTCAAGAAAACAGACAGACTACATATTTGCAAAGACCAATAATTGTCATAATAAACATATTTAACTTTAGATAAACAGAGTTGGAATAATTATGTTTAAAGAAATCGAATAAATTTAATTAAAATCAGGGCTGTGGAGTCGCGTAAAAATCTAACGACTCCAACTCCGACTTTTCCTTATCATCCGACTCCGGCTAAAACACCAAAACTCCACAACTCCGACTCAACAGCCCTGCCAGGGCTGTGGAAGTCGCGTAAAAATCTACCAACTCCAACTCTGACTTTTCCTTACCATCCGACTCCGACTAAAACATCAAAACTCCATGACTCCGACTCCACAGCCCTGATTAAAATTAAAAATGCTAACAGTGTTCCCTTCGGAATTTTCTTAACTTTTGCAAAATAAAGACTTCATTCACCATTACATGAAACCTGTAGGTTGTATTTATAATAATTTCTATGTTAATTTCGTATTATACATAATTGCATAAAGATAAATACATTCACTTTTTTACATATGCTTTTATTTTCTTTGCTATAATGCCTCAAATTGGCAAGTTATTTTGTAGAACAGGAAATAAAACTGATGAACACACTCAGCTCCAAATTATTACAATTAATAAATACACATTTTTATATAACAACATTAAGCTCATGAAATAAATCTATGCTTGAACTCCCTGAATTGTGGTTGTCACTTTTCAAAACTTTAAATCATAGCAGAAAATATAATGAAGTTATATTTTCTACACTTTTTCTTTAATGTTTCCTTTCTATATTTGTACATTGTTTCCTATTCACAACACATTGCTTTTACTTGCATTGAAAAAATGATTTTATAAATTTTGTTCAAAAATCATCATAAAAGTGCAAATTTCAATTAAGAACATCTTTTTAAAATTCATTAACATATATCCAATTTAAAATTTTGTTCTCATTCTAAATACAGTACATTCTATTTCACCTGAAGACAATATGTGCAAAATGTTGAAAGTACTTGCACATGTTTGGATTAAACTAAATTAACACCAAAAAATCAGTGTGTATTTAGTAATAGAACAGGGGGAAAAACTATTTTCTTATAATAAATAGAGACAACTTAGGCATTGACAGTCATTTTCTTCTAAAAGCATATAAAAATGCTTTTAACATTGGAAAGAAGTGGAACAACTGGTCTTTCACATTCTGTGAAGTGGCAGTTGATACTTTCATAATCAGTGCAAAGACAAACTCCCATCAATTTAATGTATGTACTACTGCACTAGAAATTTTCACACTTGAGCATTTGGGCAAAATAGTGTTTCTTAATTGTTACTTGCAGATCCTTGGAAATTGCAAGTAAGAGTTGAAGATCTTTAAATTTCCAGAAAAACAAAAAAGCATATTACATCATGGAATAAAAAAGTGCTTTTATAATATTTATTGTAATTAAAAATACCTCCAAGTTTAAATTAAAAAATATAAAATCATTTAATTTAAATTATTTTCTAAAACAAAGACATTTATTATTCTTATACATATATATTTTAAAATAATGATTATTTTTAATATTACTTTAATAACTACATTCTACTCTACATATATGTTAAAAGTTTCCTTTCTTAAGGGATTTGTCAGAAAGTGAAGTTTGAGAAACATTTGTTTATTGCATGTCCTTGATGCTTTTCTTACCCAGAGAGTGTTTTTCCAACTTTCCAAAAATCTGCATTTTTTTTTTTTTTTACAATTTAAACAAAGACAGACTGTTGACAAGAAGAATATTAAAAAAAGCAATTAACAATCATGGGATATAAAAATTAATTTAATGTCCAGTTAATATGTCAATGTGACTCACTCAGATTTATATTCAGGAAAGCACACATAAATAAGAATCATAAAACACAAAAATATTAAAATTCTTCAAAATTTGTCCCTAAATGTATAATTTATATGAAATGTTAAGAATTAAAGTTAAGTAAAATTTATAGAAAAGACTTATATGAAAAAATTTCTTTTTGAAATTCAACTAAAAGTTACTTGGTTAATAGAAATGTAAATAATACACAGTGCAGTTCACAGAATATTTTCAATGTTATAGCTAGAGACTAACTTTGTATTCAATTTTTCAAATCAGCTACAAACATATTTAGAGAAATAACTTTTACACCTGCAATAAAACTTGGTTGTTTTCTTCCTCTATAAAACCATATTATTTTAAATTACTTAAAATCAATTAGATAAATCATAATTTTACCATATATCCTTTTAATTTTAATGTTCTGACAATTAGTACAGATGCTTGCTTCTTTTACTGATAGCTGCATATAATTTTTACATTTATATTTTAAAAATTATTTTAAGAAATAATTTAAAACTAATATGTTTATATGAAGAATTATAAAATGCATCATGGAGAAAAGCATCACAAAATGCCAGAGACAGGCATTCAAAGAGAATCCCATAGTAAATATATCAACTGTCAAAATTTAAAACATTTTTAAATTTTAAAAATATTATGTTGGTTACTTGATGATATAAATTTGAAAGAACAATCTGTAATCTATATACAAATGAGGATGTTTGTTTGCTATACACTCCTAGACTGTTCAACCAATTGCTACGAAACTCAGTAATTATGTTCACATTTAACTTAGATAATGTCATATACAACATCCTACACTAAAACATCAATTAATTTCTATCTACAGTGGTACCTCAGGATACGAAATTGATTCGTTCTGAAACTGAGATCGTATCATGAAAATGTCGTAAGGTGAATCATTTTTCTCCATAAGATTACATGTAAAACCAAATAATTCGTTCCAACACAAAAAACACACTCAAATTAAAGCTAAGTAATACATTGAAAAAAATAACTATAGTAATGCGTTTTGTAGTAGTAAATGTATAAATAACCATAATAGAATAATTTGATAATAATAGAATAATAAATTAATTAAAAAAATGTAGTTTTATTTGCCACTTTACCTTTGAGGACAGATGTTGGTGGAGGCATAAACTGGTGGCAGAGGAGAGGGAGAAGGGAAATGATACTAAAACTTACATAACATAATGTAACAATAACTTAAGAAAAACTTTATATATATATACAGTAGATCCCCCTATAAGACGGTAGATACGTTCCGTTCTTTATGAATCAATTTTGTAGGAATCATAGTTTACGGACTACGGCTGTTTGAAAGGTTTTCTTTCATAAAATTAATCGATTCTAGACTAATTCNAATAAAGACTAAACGTAGTTGAAAACTACGTTTAGTCTTTATTGAGTACTTAGGTGTATTAAAAAATCGTATCTAAAATAGTACAGTAGAAGCCGTTTTTCCGGTTAAGCCTTAATCCTCTCCCTCTCCCCCCGCGGGGAATTTCGGAAAATCCCTTCTTAGTGCGTTTTCATGACGTACCCTAACTGTCTACCAAATTTCACCTCTCTAGGTTAAGCGGTTTGCTCTGGGCGATGATGAATCAGTCAGTCAGGACAAGCAATTTTATATATTTAGATAAGAGCCGGGAAAATAAAATGGATTTCTTACGTACTACTGGTACTTGATAAATGCCAAAACGATATGCCTAATTATATCGGGCTATTTATAATTGGATATAGAGTAATTTGCAGTAGATGTAGCACTTAAGTCGCTATCTCGTAATACATTTACAATTTTTGAATTTGACATGGCGACTTAATCGCCTATCTCTACACCAATTACTATATGTAATCATTATATAATCTGGCACATCGTTTAATATTAATCAAGAATCGTATTATTAGACACAAAACATTTTATGATTTTAGTGTAACTACTGCTGCCTCGTATTTTTCTTTTATAATTAATTTCTTCCAACATCAAAACAAACGCAGGTACAGCTAATGCCATAAAGCACCAGCAATGCATTTTCTTAACTATGAAAACTACATAAATGTTAAATGTAATTTTTATGCATAACTATGCACCATTTAAATTGAAATATTTCTTTATTTCAAAAATTCTTTAACTTTCAATGATAAAAATACCACTAATTATTCTGTATTATATGTAGTGTTATATAATCTGGTGACCAAAAATTAAGCGTATGGTAACTATTAATTTCACCTGTCTCTAGAACTCACCAGGTGATTTCCAGCTCCACAGCCAAATGGTAACATAGACGCAGAACATTGTATTCTTTATGTAACATAACCAAAAAGCAAAAATTTTATCTAAATTAAGTAATTCCTAATGAGTTGAGGGCATAGAAAACAATTGTTGGAAATAATACATTTTCGGTTCTTAATTCTTTACGCTCAATTTCGACTAACCAATGCTTTTGCCTAAAGCCTTGGGCTTGCAGTGGCCTTGGATGCACTTGAATAAATCCACGATACTCCAACATCAATCTGGCAACCAAGTGCAATATTAAGTACCATGTAATACAGGCCTTGTTGTGTAAATTTGTATAAACGGGCCCTGCATACGATCCAGTATTAGTACTGGACATTATACAGTAGCATGCAATATGGATTTTGTTCCATAAATGGGGCCTTCTGAGTCTGCATTTGTTTACACCTCACACTGCCTGATACAATGATGAATTCCACAATCTTGTTAAATGGATAGTGTTTAGTGTTTCCATAAACACTATAATGTTTTCAAATGTATTTTTGCTGTTATTCGTTATTGTTTCTAACATGGCTGTAGTCACTGAAATTTTGGGTTATTCTGGTGTATACAGATTTTTAAAAATAAAGAA